AGTGGCCGCTGACTTGCTTAGTCGAATTAAATTAGTGGTTTATGCGAAGACATGACTTCTACCCCACTCATCTCACCACTCACTCCATCCAACACTTCGGAAACACTCCACACCTCACTCTGCGCCTGAGTACCTACGTCTCTCTCAGCCTCTCAAACAGGAACACTCAAGACAACGAGTCAGCCATACGCATTCCCCATTCTCCACACCTCTCAACTTGCACCTCACACCTCTTGTGCCTTCGCTTGCCTGCTGCCACCGCAAAACCAACCCTCGAGTCAGCACTTCAACTTGAGATGCAATGCCCATATATGGTGGGGAAGGAAATAGGACACGTCGCCGCGCTGCAATGCTTGGTGCGACGAACGAGAAGGTAGCTGATGTCGCCTTGTGGTTCATTGTCACACATTGTCGCCTCAAGACATGCGAAACAACCAGTCAAGAAGGAGGAGGCGGGAGTGGAGGAGGAGGAGGAGGAGTGTAAGTGCATTGACAATGCTTGGCATAGGGTGTTGTCTAGCCCTCCACAGGCAAAAATTGTTTCATCACGTCACTTTATCACGTTAGTCTCGATGAGTGTACAAGTCTGGTTTGCTATCGTCACATATAATGGGTAGTTGTGTAGACGGGTGGGAGAGAGTAACAGACCAATGTGAAGGTCGATTCTAGGAGGTAGTGGAAAGGTCATCGGAGAATTGTGTTTGTTCAATGGCTAATTGTGTCTTACATTCCACCACCGTAGCACATTTTCAGCAATAAGTGAAGCCATTTTTTCCAACTTACATGAAGCTATGCTAAAATGTATCCATTTCCTAGATTACTGTTTTTGTATTGAATGGACAATTTCAGCTTGCTCCACCCTCTCCCTTCGCTAGCACAAAAAGGCAGGTATTTGCTGTCAATGCATAATTTCCGTCTTGTTGTAAAGGACCCGAAAAATACGTTGTTATAAATGTCACATTCTCCTGCCTTTTCCATGACCCGCGATTTATTGAATGTTGGCGTGGAAATGCAGCCCTTTTCCCTTTCCCTCCTCCCCCTCAGCCACCTCATTCTACGCTGAGAGGTTCTGCCCTGCAGACAATACCATTTTACATAATGTACACCTTTAAGCCTTCCCCAAAATAGGCTGAAGTTTAATTATCCATCCAAAGGTTTTGAAAGTCATTGCAAAAGATAGTCGAAGTGGATTATGAAACAGTGACTTAAACTACGAATATGCAAGTAGAAGGAGGACATAAAATGTGCATTACTTATGCATTGATTAGGCTCCGTGGGGAATAAATCGGCAGAAATAAATCAGTTCGACTATCAAGAAGAATAAATTAATATGCAATGAGAGGCGGTTTGGAGATACACAAAAAAACTTACAGTAACTTTATGGTGACAGAAGATCGCGACCGTGGATGCGACTTTTCGTAGGGTTCTCGGTTGATTGGACCTTGAACCGGTGGTTCATCATCCCTAAACCAAAAAGCAAAGTTCTTTTTAGGAACAAAACTAAAGAAACCCAATTTTGTCCAGCCAGAACCATTTGTACGAATTCAAATTATTGAAAGTGCTAAAACAAACCGCATTTATGTTAGACTTTTTGATATTCACTGGACATTAATAAGCTTCCGGGACCCCCATACCCAAACTGGCCTCCACCTCCATCAGTTTCTACTACGCTATCCCATCCGACGCCTGAAACCAGTAATAGAATGATGCTTTGGATCTGCAAATGCTCATAAATCAAGCCACGACTTCAAAACACCTTTGCTATGATGGTGGAATGTAGGACACAATTAGCCATTGAACAAACACAATTCTCCGCTGACCTTTCCACCACCTCCTAGAATCGACCTTCACATTGGTCTGTTACTCTCTCCCACCCGTCTACACAACTACCCATTATATGTGACGATAGAAAACCAGACTTGCACACTCATCGAAACTAAGGTGTTCAAAGTAACTTGGTGAAAGATGGGCCGTAAACTCTCCCCATCTTTGGTCACCTTAAACCCACCCGTCTCCCCAGCCAGCAAAGTGATTTATAAAAGGAGAGAAAGAGTTGCAAGTCATGGAAGTCTCAACATAGAGAGTGCACTGCGACTAGATGAGTGTTGAGTGACATCGACGAAAGTCGTCAGGGAGGAGGGAGGGGCGAAAGAATGGAGAAGAGATTGGGAGCGACAACGAGAGAAAGAGGATACAGTCTCAATGCGTTACTGTTGATCATTAATTCCTAAGTCAATTAGCGCCGAAACTGTGGTTGACATTTTGTCGGCATTGCTAATTAATGAGAAGAGGTCTCTGCTGCTTGTCAGATGACATGGTGACAAGCAGGGTGATCTCCGCTCCACCGTTCACAGAGTTAGAGGTAGTTAAGCAAATGACTTGGTGGTTAGGAAGGACGGAGAGAAGGATGGGAGAGAGGGAAAGAGGGAGGAGAATGATACCTGAACTGTTTTGTTCGTAGAGGAAAGCGTTAATGAGAAGTAAGATGGAGACTGCTTTCCCTGACGCTGATACTACCATGTTCGCTTCCACCTAAGTCGAATGGCAAAACAATTTTTGCCTGTGGAGGGCTAGACAACACCCTATGCCAAACATTGTCAATGCACTTACACTCCTCCTCCTCCTCCTCCTCCTCCACTCCCGCCTCCTCCTTCTTGACTGGTTGTTTCGCATGTCTTGAGGCGACAATGTGTGACAATGAACCACAAGGCGACATCAGCTACCTTCTCGTTCGTCGCACCAAGCATTGCAGCGCGGCGACGTGTCCTATTTCCTTCCCCACCATATATGGGCATTGCATCTCAAGTTGAAGTGCTGACTCGAGGGTTGGTTTTGCGGTGGCAGCAGGCAAGCGAAGGCACAAGAGGTGTGAGGTGCAAGTTGAGAGGTGTGGAGAATGGGGAATGCGTATGGCTGACTCGTTGTCTTGAGTGTTCCTGTTTGAGAGGCTGAGAGAGACGTAGGTACTCAGGCGCAGAGTGAGATGTGGAGTGTTCCCGAAGTGTTGGATGGAGTGAGTGGTGAGATGAGTGGAGTAGAAGTCATGTCTTCGCATAAACCCCTAATTTAATTCGACTAAGCAAGTCAGCGGCCACTCTGTCTGACGGTGGGGTTGTGAGGGGTTTTTTCAGGCGATTCGTGTAGGAGGTAAAGGAAGGCAGGAAGGAGGGAGGTAGGGAGGCAGGGAGGGACTGAGAGAGGTAAGGAGCAGCAGAGTAGTGGTTGTTGAGCCTACTCGTCATGATGTAATGCATGGCATGTGGATCCACTCAACTGTCACGTCTTTGGCTCCTCAAATGATGTTGGGACAAGCGAATTGCCTCATCACTTCATCGCCTTCCACTGTCATTGGAAATATTCGTCAAATTATGGCCACATTAGTCACCTTTTTATTTGACGACACCTCATTTAGAAACGTCGGAGTGTATGGTTCTCGACGCGAATGACGAAATCCATTCTAATGAACTCTCCTTCGACAAAGTGTTTCTGGTCTAAATTAAGATTATGAAGTTAATGTTCGACTGAGCACATACATCTCTCAAGTTTCTCCTCTTTGCTGAGTATCGCTGCATCCAAGTGTGTCAAGATATTCTCCATCTTAGCGTTTCCAACTTAACTTTCACTTTCCGTCTGCTGTCAATGGTCAGATGACTGGTGGAGTGGAGAACTCGAGATGAAACGGAAGTGCTTTAAACATCCTTTTCACTCTCTCACAAGTTAACCTCTGAACAAATGCTTCTCGTGTTGCCACACATCCACTTCTTAGACCATAGTTATGACAGCACTTCGTCATTGAACCTTGGACAATTAAGATGTCAACTGACATCTTCCTTCCAAATTGTTCCTGGGTGTTGCTCAGGAAACCATGCCACTGAAGTCTTAAAAACTAAAGTACATTTAATGAATGCCAAATGAACAAAAAGGTGTCCACCTATTTTCTTCTACATAAAAATATGATAAACTACGTACTCCCTCGTCGCCTCGACGCTACAAAATTAGCGAAATTTGAATAAGAGCTTTTAATTAAAAAGGCGTAAAACAAAAGCAGATACAATCCACGTCTCTTGGAGGAGAAGAGTGAAACAGTAAATGGTGAATAGAGACGACCTCGAGACATACCACCATCAAACGCCCCAGGTGCTAGTTTTGAGGCTCTGTCGTCCGAAAAGTAAGGGATTGACAAAAGTGCCATCACTATACCCTCCTGTAAGGCTGTCATCAAGGCGGTTACAAAAAGTTAAACAAAATTTGAGACCAAAACAAATACAAGCTCAACTGGATGATGATCAAGGGAATCGCTAAATGTTGCTGCTTGAATCAGCGAGACCAACATGCTGGGAAGTGCGGGCATGAGAACTGCACCTCACACATTGTCGAGACTCTCCCAGCTCAAGAACAAACAACCTGTGAATGTGGATTGACGATTAATGTCCCATTTCTCTTCCAATCAGTTGCCAATTGCTCTCCCACTCCATCCTCAGTGAAGGCGGATAAAACGAGAAAGAACTTCCGCCTTCTTATTTGAATTACTTACTCGGAATCCGAGCTTCTCTGACCATAAAACAACTTACACTTTAAGGGGAGCTGACACAACTCCATAAATCTCTGATTTATGTTAGATGCAGATCCTTTTGTGCAGTCCTCACAAATCTCAACAATTTCATTAATATCCCGACAATTTCTTCATTAATATAAAAATGCAAAAAAAGTATAATCGACAGAAGCGCAAAGAGAATAGTACTTCCAGGTCACTCGCCTTTGAAAGGCTTCTCCAAAACTCCCATTTACTTACGATCTTGTCTCGTTTTGATGAACTCTTTTGAGCCTTATGGAATGATGTCGGTAAATTGAAAGCACACAAAATATTCACAGAAACACCAAGAAAAAACAACACCACCAACTTTCAATCACATTTTGAAATACGCTGAAAAAAGCACTTGGAGCTTTATAGAATCACAAAAAGAGGTGAACTTCAGAGTGTACACTGGTAAAATGACAGTTGTTTAACTTGTCTTCAAAGGAAAATAAGATTGTGCTCAAGGTGATTGCAAGGATTGGACTACATGGAGGCGCTTAGGCTTCGGGAGGACGCACTGGCTACGCTTTTTTGGTCAATGTCAAAGCCTGCAACAAAAATGTCGCTGCCTAGCAGATTTTGCCACCAGATGCGATAACAGACGCAATCCAGTGATGTTGTAAAGAGGTGAGATAACTTCGAGAAGCCTTCTGAGCCTTTTCAGCTATGAGTAAATCTACTTCCTTTATGAGCCTACAAAGAGGCTCATGTCTTTGAACAGCTTTGCAGTCTAAGTACACAAAGAAGTGGCTTTGTTGGTGGAAAAATAAACCCACCCAGCACGTAGATAGATGTCCAAATAATCCTGGAGCTGAAGGATCCTCGACTCCAACTGCATGCACTCGAGAAGGATTTGACGCAATTCATCACAAGTAAAACGAGGCGACGACGCAACCGTCACCAATCCACCAAGAGTGTCACTTTTGGCAACCAATTTGTCATCCGTGTTCAACAGCTTTACAAAATCACTCTGCTTGATCTCGTCCTCCTGTCAGAAAAGAAATAAAATTCTTTGCTTGACGCTGAAGAACACAGTTCCGATGGCAGAAGGCAAAGCAGCTAAGGAAATGTGCCTTCTTTGCACATTCCATTCATCTCTTAAGGCGAAGCCTTTGTCTAATAGAATCAGTAACGAAATGTGAAAACAGCTTCCTTCGCCAGTCATGCACATTTTGCTATATAAAAGCATGCCAGGGAAGCATTTGAAGCAGTGACTAAGAACGCTTATTACACAATAACTGTTTCAGAACAAAACTTTTTCACCAAATTACTTCATGCATGTCGGCCAGACGGTTTCTGAAGGCGTGAGACAGGTTGTTGGGTTATCAGTTCATTAATTCCAAACGGGATCAGATTAAAGCCTCTCGAAAGGTGATTGGCTGCCCAACTTGTAAGATTTGCTGCCAGTGCGGCCAAATTGTTGGGTTTAATGCAATCTTTAAAGAAGAAAATGCAACGCAGAGGTTGGGATTTTTTGGCAAAAATAAAGCCGCACCAAAGGCTCAGTACTATATTGAGATGCTGGGAAGACAATGGTGGACTGATTTTGGTGTTAATTATGCATCATCGTTCGTAGTGTATGAAAATCTCCGCATAAACAACAAAAGCCGCTGTTTTGCCGACACGCGATGTTCAAACAGCGGCATTGAATGGCAAAAAAAATAGACACGCGATTCCTACTACGGAAAGCTTCGACTTGGTGGCAATAATAAAACAACATGGCAAACTTGATTGTACAAGTATTCAGTCAAAGCGCTAGTAACTAAAATAAGGAAAGTTTTCACCCTTTAGGTGAAAATTAGGAGTGCGGGGAACCGCAACAATGAATAATTAAGAGGCCAAAAAGGACAAAAAAAACAAAGAAACTGCGCCAAGAGCATGAACGCTAACCAGATACCAAAATGACTAAAAGGCTACAATTCAATGAAGTAGGCGAAAAGATGACCAGTCCGAAGGAGAGGTGTAAAGGCCACGGTACCCAAAAACAGTTGAGTTGATTAAAGGGGAAAAAGCAAAAGTAGGATTCGGTTCAAAGTAAAGTGTACTTTGCTAAACATAATGGAAGCCTCAGGCTGTACTGATGGAATAAGTAATAGCTTTGTTCTGTGAAGCATTTTACGTCACCAAAAAAATGCAAAAATAAGTCCACACTGCGCCGGATTGTGAATGGGTCAAATCAACGCACTCATTTTAGTGGACGAAGATGACCTCAACCCGACAAAAAGGTAGAACCTCGGGTAAAAGTTGCAGTCGGTGGCTAATCCGATTGCATGACAATATTTGCAGCTTGACCATGTCAACACTCCAGAGGTGTAGTAGGAGTTGATGACCACTTTAACCATCTTTTGGCACACAAAAGGAGGTAACGGACAAAGCAACAATATTACTGGGTAGGTATTCACGTTTTTATGCTTTATGCGTGTTCTATCTACTTAATAGCAAGTCTGGCCCGAGATTTTATGCCTTTTTTTCACACACAAACAAATGGAACAGGCCGACATATAACACCCGCGACCGCAATCACCCAACTACCTTTATTGCACGCTATGCTATTTCGTCCCAAAAACCAACCTTCAACTAGAACATACACACCTGCAATGAACGCTTTACAGTTATAGCCCTAAATCGGCGTGATTATAATTTAGTAAATTGATTAATTCTCTAATTACCTGTGAGCTCTTACATGAAAAAAAACCTTAAATAAAATTTTAACAACGGAAATATTCAAATCATCAAAAAATGACCTTTCTCCGCTAGTTTAAATGCGAAGGTTCTTTGGTAAAAGCAAGTTCCAAGGAAAAATGTCAGCATAAATTACCTTGCGTGTGAACAATTGCTGAAATAAGTAAAGTAAATCTGTACCGGCACAGTTAGCTTTGTGTTAAAACTTTAAGATCTCAATTATCGCCCAAATCCGTTCTGAGGCAGAAAAGTAGAAAAAAGCCAATGGAGTAAACAATAAAGCGACACTTCCCACGACTACAAAGGAAAGCGAATTTAATGCATTATTGAGAGCAGTGTAGTAGAAGATTTCATCACATGCGACCACCCACACATTTACCCGCCCTGTCTGTTTCGGTTAAAATTCAAAGGCAATTAATCAGGTAGCTAAGAACGTTTTAAATCATAAGTCACCTCCTCTTTTGTTCAAAATTATAACCAAGGTTAATGTATTACTTTCTGAGTAGAACAATCAAAGGAAACTCACAGCATGAGGTGAAACAGCGCTAAGTTCGCGACGCATTGACATTGTCAGCAGGGAATTGTCCTCTTGACAAGTAGTGGATGAGGGGCCAATATGATGCCGAATTTCTTCAATGAGAGCTCGCTTAGCACGAAGGCGCGTTTCTAGCTCCTTGATTTCCCCAGCAAGAAAAGCCACCACTCCATTGGTTAAATCGGCATCTGTTGAGGTTTCGTCCGAAGGAAGTAGTCGAAGTCGCGTTCCCTTGGCGTTCAAGTGAGCCAAGCGTTCAGCTTGAAGTTTCATCTAAGTCAAACGGAAAATATTTCTACTAAATTAATTCCAGTAGCGCTATTTTTACAACTGAACTGTAATGCTTACAGCGTCAAGATCAATTGTCCGTTGGGTGAGGATTCGCCGCTGAGATCGTAATTCCACCCTCTGAGCGTCGATTACATCTTTCAGGCGTCGAAGAAGGTTTACTTCTGCGTTTTGCTGAGGTGCTGGGATATTTACCAAGTCAAGTAAAAAAATGCAACCGTGGAATTCAACCGTGGCTAATTTACACATTTCCATACCTGAGGGAATAGGAGTTAGTCGATACTGCTTGGCATGCTTGGCAGATTCAAGTGTTTCCTTGAGTTGTGCATTTTCTTCATCAAGTTTCTCAATTATTTTCTGCAATTCAGACGTCTCGGCACGCCAGTTTTCCTCAATCTTCAAGGTATCCTAAGTTTAAAAGTAATGGTTTTCGCCAGGCCTAATGGCATAATTCCCTATAAATACAAAGATTTTTGTGTTCGACACATAAATAAAGCGAAACATCACGTGAATAGTGATCAAAATAGTACAAAAGCATAAAATCCCCTTTTAGGCTATGTCAGGTGAATTGTAACAATTCGACAGAGGAACACAACAAAATGGCTGGAGCCACGAAGATTTTTATGCGGAGGGATCACCAAAAAACGTCTTAATTTGTTTCTTTATACTAAAGGCATAAGTGCATTGAAATTGATCAGAATTGTTTATGCTTATCTTTGTCGTGCTCCATTTGAAGCGATCAGAAGTTGCTAAAATTTTTAGTCATTGCATCTTGTCGATTAAAAGTTCGAAGTTACTTAACTTTTAAGGAAAAAATTCAATTATCAGTTTAACGAGACCTGTTCATTCATATCGCACTTTCGCTTCTGCAACAGAACCGCTTCTCAAGTTCTTTTATGGGCAAGTGAGTTAACTACTTCCTGCTTTTTACAGCACAACAAGTTCCCCTTACAGAGCAAGTTGACCAAGTCACTCGATCTATCAGCCCCATTTTTGATAAGCCAAAAAAAGTTTAGCGTTAAAAGTGTGGGTGGATATTTCTGAGTCGACAACAGGAATCCAGTGACTTCTGTTCCTGAACAAACACTATTTGAACAAATAAAGTCTGCCAATAGGGTGGAAATGAATAAGAGATTTAGACAGCTCAAAATTCCCATAAATTAGACGACGAAAAACTAAACTTCCAGGGCATCAAGCCAGAGGTCAAAATCGACACGATGATGTTAAAAGAAGATTGTGATTGTGAAAGGAGTCCGTAAAACAACTGTTGCAAGGGTAAGTGTTCAATGAACCAAAATCGCCAACAAAAATGTCCACATTTGCCTAATTATTCGCCTTATTTAGCAAGCAGACGACCCATCGCGAAGCCTATTGTGTTTTTTGCCTGAGGGAGGAGTCCGCTTGCTCTATGAACTGAATGGTTTGTGGAGCACTAATGCAGGTTCTTTCCAAATCCGACTTAGCATATGGATGTATCAAGGTTCTGAGGCCACACTAGGGCTTCAACGATTGATGGAGAAAAAGAAACTTAGGCGAAAGTTGAACCAAATCCCAAAATGTCAAACCAGCTATTATAATAATATAGCCATTCGCAATTTGTGGCCAAGTTTTACGCCACTAAGAATCGCAACGTTTGAAACACACTTCGGAGGGACGACAAGTCCTACCAAGCTTATAATAAAGCCGAAAATTAGAAGGAAGACATCAGATATGAATGTCCACACACGCAGGAAAGGATTGCTGAGGATGACAATAACTTCATTTTCTCCACATAATGGTTGGTACAAACGTGGAGAGCGAATTAAAAAGTTCTAAACGAATGGCAAAGAGTGCTACCATTAAATCGACGATGAGCCTATTTATGGTTACAAAATGCGCATTTACGGAGGGCGGAAAATAAGCTGATCATGTGACCCAACCTGTTCATCCTTGAGCCGCTGCTGAGTGCGAGTGACCTTGTCCGCCTCTAATCGTTCAACTGCTGCCTGCAGTGTTGTCAGCTCTGCTAACTGATTGTCGCGACGAGTGGCCTGTTCTTCCAACTCTTCCAACACCTGGATTACTTTCGGCATGAGTCCGCACACCGTCTCACCACCATGACGGTCTATAATAACCTCAAATTCCTTGCCAATTGCTGCAGCCATCTCGTATACCTCGGCAACACTGACAAAATCACCTTCGTGGCTATCACCACCGCCACCATCATCACCACTATCCCATGCCTCTACTGCTCCTACCGTTGCCGGAGAATCACCGCCATCCATAATTCCTCGGCTGTCTCCGGGGTGTGTAGATTTAAACTCCGAAGACGCCAGCATGCGATGCAGAACTGTAGCAAGGAAACCACAACACCTGAATCCCAAATGAGGCAGGTCGTAATGGGAGCGTAGGATTACAATCATACTCGAAAAAATTCCAGTAGAGCACAACTACCAATGATTAGTAATGGAAAAGTTCGATTAAGATTGCAAACGTCGAACACCTCATTAACCTCAAAAGTTTATAAATAGTTGGTTACCATAATCGAAAGCAGTGGTAGACAAATTCGTGCACCAGCCATAGCACTGACAAAATCTAACTTCACCTGTCTGTCCCAGAACTCATAAATCTAAAAGCATTTTCGCTTCAGAAAATCAAAGCTCGTTTATCAATAAAGACAACTTGAACCCAACGCCAGCACAAACCTGAGAATAAAAAGAAATCAGTACCTATAGGCAAAAGTATAACAATAAGCGCATACGATGTTACACGTGACTCAAAAGAATTCAAGCATTCTACACGATTGAAGAAAAAATTAACTTCTGCAAAAGTATCCCTTCAAAATCCACATAATAAAAAGTGTTTGAGTAAAATGAAACACAAAAATGCGTAAGCAGTCTCGCCTAAATGGGTTGAAGTAGAAAGAATAAACCAAAATCAAACAAACTCCACAACTAGAAAGTCTACACATTAAACTTATTCTCCAGTTCCATTCTAACATTAATATATACATCAGTATTTATCAAATAGAATTAAGGGAGGGTTTGAATTCAGACTCAGAATGTAGACAACTGAAACCAACTTGTGTAAGACTTGCAATGACGCAAAAAAATACAACAATAGAAGGTTATGTTTATTAATATCATCAACAGTGCCGTTTCGTACGCACAAAGACGATGCGACCTCATCGAAGTCATTTAAAAAGCAAGGTCTACAAACCTGCAAAATTTCGACAGTAGGAAGGAGTATCGTTAAAGACGTGTAAGTTTGCATAAACTTTCCAACTGCTTGGCAGCACAAAGCACATTTTCATAAAAGGAATGCGTATAAAGCTTGGTATGAAGTTTATTGCCGTCTGAAAGCTTTTAGGAGAGTAAAAATGAAGGAAGAATCGAAGTAAATTCGCAGGTGATGGCACATCATGCCCACATAACAAAAGGAGCAGTCAAACGATAAGATAGATAGTATTAGTTATAAAGTTTAAAACTCATCAAAGACTGAAGTGTTACATGCTGCTAGATGTGGAATAGAAACTAAATTACTCAAAAGAGCGGCCAACCCGGCAACAAGATTTATTACGTCATGCTTCAATTTGCAAATTGACGGTGCAGCTACCGCGGTTGACATATTGTGAAAGAAAGCGATGAGTGATAGGTTTGGAAATTGTCGAGACATACCAGCCCCAGACGGGTTCGCGCAGCACACAAGATGAGCCGCCAAATGTCCGCCCTTCAAGGGACCTAAAAAAATTACGCAGTTAAATGAATAAATAATGTGTTAGCATTCATCAGCTTTAGGTTTAGCAACTAGAGCTATATGAAAATCACATCGGGAGGGCAGTGTCTTATTGACAGCTTTCAATTCCTTAAGTGAGCAGATTAATCCGATGGAACACTATATTTGACGGACAGAGTTTGAGGAAACAGTCTTTTAAGGTCCTCCATTAAGGAAAGAAATATTTTTATAAAAAATTTAATTAATGCCTAGCTAACTAACTAATTAACTACATGGCAAATGCCATAAAAAATAGTACCACGACAGCCACATACAAGGCCACCAACAAAAACGGTATAAAAAGCTGCATTGCATTCAGTTTTCCAGTCGTATTATAATTATGCAGCTGAACAGGGTAAACGCGCGTGCAGGTAGTTATTCGGTCCCCATCCTGCCCACAATTCTTAATTTAATTAGATAGCTGAAAGCGTAGTTCGATTTCTTGACCTTGTGGCGGTGCGCTTGTTAGTTTCTAATGTCGGAAGAGGTACAAATCCACTCTGTTTAATTCTCTTTAGACAAGCTCGTTTTTCGCGGACTTAGATGTTTTGCTCGTGAACTCTGAAAAATTTAATCAAGTATGATCTGAACTACAAGCGGCACATTTCCTCTTAGTTATTTATTCAAAAAATTAAACCAGGATGGATGCAACAAGTTCTTTCTCGCTTATCACGTAGTCCTATGCATTTTAATAAGTTTCTTGACATTATCGTTGACTTCGCTGTGTCGGAAAATCATCCAGAATGGTGTAGTCGTGCTCTTCGTTGGTTGGAAAAGATTTTTGAAAGTCCTGAGTTAGCGGCTATGACCAAGCAGTCCCAATCTTCTTTGTGTCGATTTTTATCTTATGATGCACAAATGCACGGTCTTCGCCGGTTGGTAGATACAGTGGTGGAAAATCTCGACGCCATCCACAAGTCTACTAAGCCCAAATTGAGAAAGATTAATTTGCCTATAGTGGATACAGGATACATTTTTATCGATGGTATGGTGTTTCAAAATACTCTCAAGCTTCTTCTTGTCCGGGGTTTTACTCTTGTTTTGCTTTGCCTTAGGGCTGTGTTTATTCCACTAGTATATTCATTTGGATCTTTAGGGTCTGCCTTTTGATTTTTTTTTGAATTTTTTGACCTCAAGGTTATTTTAGGCCTTTGATGTATCTTTAATGATGTTCGCTCGTTTTTAAATCAGTTTGTTGCTACTAAGCTGGCGAAACTTACTTTCCATAATAGGTTTGATTTTTTTGCATTTGCATTTGAATCGCTGTTTATTACTTTATACTATGACTGCTCTTTAAGTAAGCGATTGAGACAACTCTATCTATGGAATAGTTTCAGCATTGTACCGTAATAAATTTTTTATAGATGAAGACGTTAACTTCGGTATCCCCAAGAAGAGATTTCGGCGCAATGTGGACAACCTCAAAGACGAAAGAAATGTGCTCAACCAATCATCTCCTTTAAGCGATGAAGGGGATGACAGCATTTTGGACAATTTAGATGATGGTGATGAAGTCTCAGCGGTTTCAGAAGATGATGGCGTTTTTGATGTTGACGATGGGTCGACGTCTTCCCTTTCTGAAAGTCAGTTGTCTAACACGATTTCCCGGACAGGAATTTCTTTTAACTACACTGATAATAGTGGCAACAGTAGTGAAGAAGACTTTGAGGAGGATGAAGAGGTTAGTTATTCTGTTTACCCTCTATTACATTTCCCGCAATGCTATAGGATGACGAAGATGATGAAGGAGAGATGGCGTCAGATAGTCGACTGGACGTACCTCCACAACCAGACGACGAGGAGGAAGAAGAAGTTGGAATTGATGCTGATTTCGCTGGTAGTAGTGGTAGCGAAATTTCTGTTCCGGTAGGCAGGAGTGTTCGTCAGGTTCGGCGATCGGCTCGGATTCAGAATCGACGATGAACTTTTCCTCGAGACACAGTATCATTTTGTACAAGTGCATAAATATATTCTAGAAGAATACCTCAAGCGCAGTTTTTGATCATTGACACGTGGGCTTTGCAAATATCGCCGGAGGGGTATTCATTGTGTAGGTTGGGTGGTTGGGCGTCTGTAGCCGACTTGTCGTCAACATGCGCATACGTCGGGATCCGAAGGTGGACGTGTCGAATCCAGTGCTGGGACTTCAGTCGACCAGTTGGTGTACTTTGCCGAGCTTGAAGAGATATTTCTCAAATGTGTTTGTCCTGTTATCCCTATTGGGGTACGGCAAGATGTAGCTCGACAAGTTATCGTTGTTGTTGTTCGGATTAGGTTGACATACCCTGCTGAAACTACGACTATATGCACTGTGGGAGTTTGTATCAAACGATAGACGACCCAAAGAAGTAGAATGTTTAATCTTTCTGAAATGTTCAAAAAATTTCCAATAGAAGCGATGTAATGGGACACATCGCAATGAAGATCGTTTTACCGAAACCCGAAGAAATTATAAGAGGCATTGTGGTACATTAGAAACGGTTTATTTTCCAGATTTGCGAATTTAGCATTTGAATATACTACTTCAAGGCCGCTGGTAGTTCTTTGCGTAAATTATGTTATAGTGTGTTCGAATTCTTCCATATTTTTGTTGAATATTTTATTTTTTACTTATATATCAATACTTATTTTTCTTTTTCGTTTATCAGTTTGTTCAGTTGTGGATGCAAACCCGCTCTTCACAATTCAATACCGTATTTTGTTGTGCAATGGTGGATACTGTAAAGTCTTCAGACCTATTGGAGGAGGCTCTTGCCTTGTCCAAGTTAATCCGCAAACATCGCGGTCGGATTGTCATTTATACAGGTGCTGGAATAAGCACCGCTGCGGCCATTCCTGATTATCGTGGGACACACGGACTCTATCGCAATTCTACCCCTTCGAGTAATCTCAGGTTTTGTTCGATTTGAATTTCGCTTAGGTCGGAAAGTGATTGGAACCAAGCTTCGACTACCAGAAGCAAGTTATGCCAAGCCAACATTTACCCACATGGCTATTTGTGCCTTGGTTACCAACGGCTATGTAAGTCTATTTCCTTAGGTACCATCTGCATTCAAAATCTGTCACTTTTATCCACTCATCGATTTATGCTTCCAGGTAAGGCACGTTGTATCTCAAAACGTAGATTGTCTGCATTTACGAAGTGGACTTCCACCTCAAAATCTATCAGAGTTGCATGGAAATTTATTTATTGAGGTATGTTCCTTGCGAAACCTTAACGTACTTTACAGCAATGTCTTTCCTGCAAGATGCTATTTCATCGTTCATTTGATGTCGCCGAGAACACTTCAAGGGGCAGGCATTTGACCGGTCGGATTTGCCCCCTCTGCTGTGATGAACCTACCTTTTCATATTTGCAAAAGTCAATCGCTCTCGGAGCAATTAAACTTTTACTTGGAAAGAAAAAAGTCCTCGACTGTGACTCTGTTGCTGCTGTCCATCTAGCTGCTCAAAATGTCGGCAAAGACTTTGGTAATCGTTTCATTGATTTATTATTCATTCCATCAGTCAAACTTTGGTCGTATTCTTACTCATTTTATAAGCTTTTAAAATATTGAAACTGGGTTATTTCTAAGTTTTTGTATTTATAATTTATCCTACTTATAACATTTAAATAGAATCGATTTTTAGTCGAGTTAGAGGTGCATTTGATTTGAGGACTAATGTTTCAGCGGAAATCGGACTTATGGGACCAAAGACTGATAAGGCGACTTCCTCCAGAATAGTAATAATTGGTGCTTTTATCTTCATGAGGAAGTACTTTTCCCTGAGGTACATGCATTAGAAACTTTATATGGAACCTATAACACCATGTAAACAGATTTCCAAACAAATTTCCCTGTGAATTGTGGTTTAGGAGCTGTGCTTCTTATGTCTATAAGAAGGTCGGTGATCACCTCATCCCACTGCCTTTGTTAGTTAGGACGCCCGCATGCTAGCCA